TCCCGTACCGCTTCCTCAACCTCAAGTAAAAATGGGATGCCGTCGAGTGGCACGCACGTGGGCCACCGCTTGACCTTGTCAGCCGCATGCAGGTCGATGTTCGGCGACTTGGTGTTGAGAAGCTTGTGGAACCACCGTGCCCACCGTTGGCGAATAAACGTGGGGTCCCGAAGGACCTTGCCGTCCTCGTCCTTGATGTTCTGAGAGGTGAACGACCTCTTACCTTCGACGTCGATCATCTTCAGGTGCCTGTAGAAACCCGCCTGATCCCCCTCGCGGCTCTTCTTCTCGAGCTGCCGTACATAGCCCTCGAAGAACGTTTCCAGTGCTCTCCACCTCGCGATGCTGCGCTTCTTCCGCGCCGCCTTGAGCATCGCCTTCAGGGTCGCCTCGAAGGCGCTGTACTTGTCACACTCGGACTATTGCTAATCAACCGATATCGGATAGTCCGATGTATCACAATATCCTAGAATATCCTTGTGGATATGTATAGCCAAATGTATAGCTTATGGCTAAGATTTATCCCGATATGTGTGTGTGTACGATCATCCGATCACTCAATGCAATGAGCCGAAGACTATTCCAGTAATAGTTACTGGGTTCCCATGGCTTGAGGAGACTAATGTATGGTAGCTTACAGCAGTACCAATACTGACTACTGAACATTGAATATTCCAACAGTGACTTCACCAGCCGCGGGAGGTGAAGCCGCTGTCTTATCCCACACTATTCTAGGGGAAGAATAAACGGTCGCAGAGATACCCTGTATTATGAAGACCGTTCCGGGAAATGTTCCAAACATTTTCCAGGAACGTTCGCACACGAAAGCACACGTATCGCAGGGGTGCCTCTCATTCCCACTTCTTTGGGCAACCAAGTGCCGACACGGCAAACAGGAGGAAAGGGAGAGTACTGCTGTATTTGAATCCACGTGCCCTCTAGAGTCTAAAAAGTTCGACAGCAGTCCAGGGACTCCACAACGCGCGGAAATTTCCACCCAACCAACTGGAACTTTCACCGGCGGCGTAAGTTTTAGAAATATTCGAACCCGTTCCTTGCTAAACCATGCCGGCGCGGGCCACCCTGCCCTGCTCACCACCCGCGCAGGTGATAATTGCTCCCTGCCACACTCCAAAGCGTTCTTCCGCTTTGCGTCTGCACTTCCCTCCGCTTCTTTTTCGTTCCTGCTGCGCGTGTAGTCCTGCCCGGTTGGTGGTCGCTCGTAGTCCACCGTCCACGCTGGTCGCCGGCAGCCACTTTCTGCACGTAAGGTAAGCATGCCATACATACTGCTGTAGATGTCTCGAACAACACTGACTGTTTCCCTTACGTGGAAATTGCAGCACTTGTGTCATCTACGCTTTCATACAACCTATGTTTGTAACACATTAGGTAACACTGCACCTTAGACGTCTTCGTTGGATATGTGTAGACTAGTCTACGTGCGTTGGAGATAATACAGGCGGCGAAATAAAAGGCTAGCTTCAACACCGCCGCGCATGTGTCTGAGCGTAGATTGCAGCCTGTTCTCCTTTCCACGCGATGCCCCCCCCTTATATCTCGGGCGCTTCCGTCGATGCTGCGTGGATCTCGTCAACCTGACCTTATGCTCGCTGCTCCATCTTTGCCCGTGAAAAACAGTTGGCTGCGGGCTACGGAAGGTCTACGGACGGACGAACGAGTGTTTCAGCGCAACGAGGCTGTTTGCCGACCACGAACACCAAAGACGGTTGTTGGAGCGGTTTCTATCCACTTGAAAAAGATAGTGGCATTGTTCGGGCGTAGGCGTGTGACAAGTGGCAAGGTCGCCAAGCATCTCAAGAGGTGAGCGCGCTCTATAGGTCTGGCGCGGTCTGACTGCCCATGCCACCCTTTTTGTGTCCATTTCGGATTCGTACTTTTGGTTACATGGATTGACATTTCTCAGCACACACAGGCCCCACAGCAGTCACCACTAGCTTCAAAGACGCTTACAGGTGTGGTGCGTACAGCCTTTAAAGTTTGGTGACGATCCAACCATCATGGAGGGAGAACTCTGCGGTGATGTGGTGAGAGGTCTGTCTCCCGGTCGAATCCGTGGCAAATCCGGGGGGTGGGGGTGCCAGTCCACAAAAAAAATCCGTCGGGCGGTTGCCATAAGAAGAGTCACCCTAACAGAGGGATTTTGGCTTGTCACGATCCTGTGTTCAACCGTAGCCGCTACTGTATTTAGAAATGCAAGATTGCCACTGGGTCTATGTAGTGGTAGCGCGTGGGACTTGCCCCGAGAAAAATTCGTGGCGGCAGTTATCACCACTGCGCTGCGAGACAGACGCTCCACTTGGCGTCCAAACGCCCTAAAAATAATACATTTAAACAAAACACCATGTAATAAAAAACACTACTTCGAAACATATTATATATATGTCAAGTTTGTTCAAACACCCATGTTTGGGTGCGGTAGCTCGTCAGAGGCCGAAAGAGAAAGAAGGTTGACTCAAGACCTTGTTGCTTAGAGAGTAAGAGACATACATGCGGTAGGCCACACCATCATCACCATCCAGCATGTCCGTCAATACATTCCGTCCGCGTACCCCCCGGAGGCCCCGTAGACAGTAAACTCTGCCGAGCACCCCAAACAGCCCCCCTGCTCGGTACGAGATACTATCTACGAAATCCCCGACACGACTATCATTGCCAGACAACGGCAGACAGATAAACCAAAACCCCTATTCTAACAATAAATCATCCACCATTCCAATCCAAACGACTCTGCCAATAGAACATGTCCCACGAAATCGCCGGATCTTCCGACAGAACACGTCCTGCAAAGCTTTCAAACCTTTTTGATGTCAAATTTCTACCCCTAAGAGGTCTGTCAAGAAAAACAAATCACCCTCTCGAGAAAAGTGCTCTACCCAATTCTCAAGCAGTCAAAACACGAACAATCACCCTTGGAAAAATACCCAGCAAAAAGATCAACATTACATCAGAATCACGTCAGAACGGGGAGGACGGGTAACTCCTGGAAAACGTGTCTTACGTCCTGACTACTCACAACAAATTCATTCCTCAGATAAATATTCATGTTTCAACTCAATGGCCAGTTCAAATTACAAGAACATGCCAAACCCTCTCTCCGACATCCAATACCTTGACAAAGAAACCACTCCACCAGCCCCTTTAAAGGAATGCCCGCCCGACGGTGGAGGCGTACCGATTCAGGTAAAAGTCATTCGACGGATACCCTGCGAATCGGGTCCTCCTTAACACTCTCCACCCACAGAATTTACCCTCAACTGGGAACCTCTTGTGGCCAGGATGGGTAATTCGATGGAAGTGTCACAAGGTTCTTTGTAGGATCGACTCCAAGAGATGTTCTCAGGACTGACACACATTGTGTCCTTGGGAAAGTATCCAAGTCAGGAGAAAAAGTGTGCACCCAAGGAGATTCGAACCAGTATCCCGCTGACGCCATGCGCGAAGGCGTACCGATTCAGGTAAAAGTCAATCGACGGATGCCCTGCGAATCGGGTCCTCCTTAACACCCCCCTGCCGTAACATCCATTCCATCCTGAACATGAAGTCAAAATCAAATCAATCAATCGATCCAACAGCCCCCCTGCTGCATCATTCATCCCGAAAAATCAAAACCAAGACAAACCACCTGCGACTAGGATCATGGAACAATACTTCCCCCCCCATGATCGCCGCCCCCCCCGGTGTTTGCCATCGGGGTTGGGTTTTCGTCGCTTGGCAACGACGTTGTAAGACAAGCCGCCCCCCCCGGTGTTTGCCATCGGGGGTGGGTTTTCGTCGCTTGGCAACGACGTTGTAA